TTAAATTATATTAAATTATACCTTATGATATTAGAATTTGTCTAATTTGTATTCTTGTAATAAATGTATTTTTTATAATTAATTTATATAAAAAATTATAAACATTAACATATATTTTAATATTACCTAAATGTAAATAATTTTAATTAATTAATTAATAAAATTAAAATTAAAATTAATATTTTTAATAAAAATTAATTATAAAAAATATAATTATTATATTCTTATTTTATATCCTAAAAACACAAAATAAAAAAAAAAAAACAACCAAACCAAACTATGGTGGTAAAGGCCCTTCTTCCATCAACAATAAGTTTACACAGTAAACAGAAGTTTCTCAAAAAATATCTTAAAGCATCTAACACTTGTTTAAGCAACTGTGGGTCGGTTCCATGGTGTCACTCATGGTCGGCCCACTTGAGAAGTAGAGTTTTAACCGGACGATTAGATAGCTTCGATTTCCACGGTCCAGATTTTAGATCTTAAAAGGGAATGTCTTTTGAATATTCGTTTCGTGTCGGAGGGGTTCCAAGGGTAAAATGGTAAACTAAATTGGGGCTATTAAATTTTAATCCAGCCCAAATGGCTTTCTTTTTTGGTCCAAAAAGCCCAAATCTGTTCTTTCATAGTGAGCCCAGAATCCGAGTATAGATTCGGAAAATCCTAATTAGTCAAATGATCTTCTTCTTCGTCGAAGCTTAGAACCCTAAGCAATGGTTTCTCTGCAATTCCACCCTGCAAATGCTAAACCCATGTCGCTGTGTCCTTCGTTTCAAACCTTAAACCCTACAAAGACCCTAAAATCCTACCCAAAACCCAGGCGTTCAGTCGCCATTGCATCCGCCCTGCAGTGGAATAGGAAGCCGCAGCTGGCAGGGGAGACTCCGCGCGTTGTGGTGATCACCTCCGGAAAAGGTGGAGTTGGAAAGACTACTACCACCGCAAATGTGGGTCTCTCGCTGGCCCGCCTCGGGTTCTCGGTGGTGGCCATTGACGCCGATGTCGGGCTCCGCAACCTCGACCTTTTGCTCGGGTTGGAGAACAGGGTTAATTATACGGTGGTCGAGGTGCTTAATGGTGATTGCCGCCTGGACCAAGCCTTGGTCCGGGACAAGAGGTGGTCGAATTTTGAGCTGCTTTGCATTTCCAAGCCCAGATCGAAACTCCCAATTGGGTTTGGCGGGAAAGCACTGGTGTGGCTTGTCGACGCGTTGAAATCCCGTGAAGAAGGGTCACCGGATTTCATCCTTATAGATTGTCCGGCAGGGATTGATGCCGGGTTTATCACCGCCATAACTCCCGCCAATGAGGCTGTTTTAGTGACGACTCCGGATATAACTAGCTTGAGAGATGCAGATAGGGTGACGGGATTGTTGGAATGTGACGGCATAAGGGACATAAAGATGATTGTCAATAGAGTGAGGACGGATATGATTAAGGGTGAAGATATGATGTCAGTGTTGGACGTGCAGGAGATGCTGGGGCTGGCGTTGCTGGGGGTGATTCCGGAGGACTCAGAGGTGATAAGGAGCACCAATAGAGGGTATCCACTTGTGCTGAATAAACCTCCAACACTTGCAGGGTTGGCATTTGAGCAGGCAGCATGGCGGCTTGTTGAGCAGGATAGTATGCAGGCTGTAATGGTGGAGGAAGAGCCCAAGAAGCGTGGGTTTTTCTCCTTCTTTGGAGGGTAGAGCGGTAGAGGTGGGTGACATTTTTGGTAGTAGAAGTATAATGGTCATGGTTTCCGACAAAGATAGTTGCTTATGGCTGGTAGCAGTGTACAGTAAGTAAAGTTTTTTCTTTTCCAGTGATTCTGCATTTCTTTGTTAGACGGCTAGGTTTGTAGTGTTATGCAAAGGGTTTTCTCTTTTGCTTTTTGTTGAGGTCAATTGTCTTCTGTAGTTTGGTTGCAGATTTGTTATAATGAGTTACTTGGTGATTCAGAGTTTAATGGTGTCTGTATCACTGAATTCATTTGTGAAATTGTTATTATTGGTTGAATTTGGTGAAAGTTTAAGGTTCATGCCTCACTAGAGTTCTACTCTTTGAGTATCAGAAATTGCTGTTTTAAGCTAGTTTTTTATGAAGTTATTATTTTTGTGGAATTTAGTGAATTTGAAGTTGCACATCCTAGTTTGAGTATAAATTTTGGTTCGTCGAATTGAGTTTCTGGATAGCCTTTCTTTGAACCTTTCTCAGTTCATTTTGTGTCGAACCTTTTTCAGTGTAGGGCTTTTGGATTACTATTTTACTCTACATTGAGGCTTGAGTTATCATACGATGGGATCATACATGATACATTCATATTTGGTCACTGAGTGAAGGTTCTCTCTCTTTTTTCCTATTTTATGGGCAAAAGGAGGTAGTTCTTTAGCTAGTTCTGGCATTCCAACCAGGGGGTTAGGGAAATTGTCTCATGTTTCAGCTCTTTTTCTCGAACTTTTTGGGTGCTAGGGCAGGGCAATTTTCTTTTGCTACACCCTTTTGTTTTTTTCTTACTTCTTTTAACCTTAGGTTTGCCCAAGATAAGATAATTTTCCCATGTTTGAGACCTTTGTTTCCTTACTTTCTGAGGCCCAAGGTATGGCCTTCGCCCAACCATGGGGCTCTTTAGTTCCACCTTCATTCAAACCCCTAAGGCCCTAACCTTGATCCCAGACAAGGTTTCAGAGTAGTGGATACCAACTCGGTTAAGATCTTGTTGGTGCTTACTGGGTGATATTTTGCTTTCTTAACTGGTTGAGTTCACAGCTGCATATTCTGAGTTCCGACTTGTGAACTGTTGGAATGTCAGATATTGGTGGTAGGTGCAAAGACACGAAGTTCGATAAAAGGAAAATAAATGCTTTGTTTATGGGGTGCAAGACCATTATTCTTTTATCCTTAAAAGTTCATTTCTGCTCTGATATTACTGAAATTGAAACTGTTATACATATCACATAGCTATAATGAACATCCTGCCTAATTAGTCCCTCAGGTTCGAAATCTTCACCCAAACACTAGAGTGTTTGTAGAAGGAACTGTATTCAGAACCAAAATTTTATGCAGTTTATTGAAAGAATTGTAAATTTGCTATCTTTTTCTCTCTTTTTTTTTCCCTTTTTTTTCTTGAATTTGCTATGCAGCAGCAACCAAAAATTTTATAGAAGTACTTATGCTGTTTATGTCATAACTTAGCTTTCCATCTATATCTTTGTGCACCATGGTTCTTTGACTTGTATTCAGAGCTAATGAGTTCGAGTGTTCGATGAAATTAACACCGTACGAGTAGCAGTTGTGTAGAGTAAAGCTGGAGTTTGCATTTCATAAGCTCTCCTGCAACTTAATGAAGCAATTTAGGTCCCACGGTAGTTTTATCACACGATAATGGAAACATTTGTAATACTGTTTCCAAGTAAAAGCTTAGTATTTCAACCTCAGCAGATGATGGTATCTGAATATTCAAGGCATGTATACTGTTTTAA